CAGCTCAAGTTTATTTCACCAATATTTCGTGAATCAATACCTATATACATTCCAAAAATTGTTTTAATAGGACCATTCCCTAAAAAGTTATAAGAAAATAAAGTGTACAATCTCGAAAACACACGATTTGTTGCATGCATATCACCATCTCTCTCGCACTCTCTTTAGCTGAATAACAGGCGTTCTTTCTTGTTTTACCATTCAGTAGTTACCAAAGCAACAATTCACTACTTTTAATAGTGGTTAACCTTTTGTTACAGTTACCTAACTATCCATATTTGTAAATTTTACCCATAAAATTGTTTTGTGTGTGTTATAATTATAAAAGCAGCCCTTCGGCAAACTAAAAATAATATTTTATCGCAAAAAAACAAAACCATTAAAATGCAAATAGAATAGAACACATACATATTTTTCATATTAAACATCCTTTTGTGTTTTACGACTGTGAAGCGGTAAAATGGCCACCACAAACCATTTCACAATACCTATTTTCTTGCCGCCCGCGCAGTCACCTTTTCACATACGACCATCAAATTAAATTTTATTGCATTAGGCGAATGGGTGAAAAAGTAATTGCCAGCATTTCAGCCTTTCTTTCTTTTTTTTTTTGTACAACCGCTTCCTTTTTACGGCTACACGTGCCACCGGCAAGAAAAAAGCAATTTGTTGTAATTTCATTGCGTTTTCATCGCAGGCTGGCCAGGTGAACAGTCACTCGATGGCACATTGGGATACGCCCATCATTTAAAGTGGAATTAAATGGGAGAGCACAAATTCGTCAGGCTTTGACTCGATTGCTGGATGTTTTAATTATTGATTATTTAAAATGAAAGCAATTGATTCGGAGGAAATCGAGGGAGTGACATATCAAATAGACATAAGATGCTGCGTGGGAAATCACTGGGTCTTTTAAAGTCACTTCAAAAGGCGTGGAAAAGTATGCTACAATATATTTTAAAACCGGAAATACCTTGTGTTGATACCGGAAAAGGATGTTGCATTTTCACTGCATACTTTTTTGACACCTTTTTAAGCTATTTAAAAGCCCGACTGATGGATGATTTAATTATTAATTATTAATTAATTCGGAAGAAATTGTAGGAGTGCCATATCAGAAACATATAAGATGGTGCATCAGAAATCACTAGGTCTTTTCAAGTCACTTCAAAAGGCGTGAAAAAGTATGCTACAAAATATTTTGAAACCGGAAATGGGATATATTGATTCCGGAAGAGAATGTTGTCTTTTTACTGCATACTTTTTAACACCATCAGTAGGTTTGATATTAATAATGTATATTTATACCGGTAGGTAACATAGAAAATATAAAAAGGTGACAATAAAGTGTGCAAAAATATATTTTAAATGCGGAATTCCAATGTGTTCATCGTTTTTTGTTGCATACTTGTAGGCACATTTTTAAAAGATTTAAAAGACCTACTGATGTTTGTTGAAGAGCTGATATTCCATTAATAGAAGACATACTGTAAAACTTCGAATTGCTTAAATCATATCCAGTTTTCCTAGCTTCACATTAAAGTTTTTGCTGGCCCATTACTGGATGCGAATGTTTGAATGCCTGTATAACTGTATGACTATGCGCTTCTTCATATTTTTCAATGCACTTTGGCTTTTTGTCAAAAATCTGCCAAAATTTCTGGCCAGAGTCTCGCAACTAAGTAACAATGCTGGCGACTCACATGACATATTCATGGCAGCCATATGTGTATTTTGGGTTAGCCATTGAAGCTATTCGCATATCGTCATATCCATATCTATATCCATATTCCATATTCCATATTCCATATTCCATATTCCAAATGCAGTCAAGCATTTCCCCAGAGTTGTCAGCAGTTTTTGAGTGCAGTGGCAGTCCCATAAAGTTGCTGCAGATTTTTGGCAAGCGCTTTTAATTGTTCGGCCTTACAAATCTGAATGAATTTAAAATGCGCAGAATTGGATTGCCAAGAGCAGTCAAAACAATGCCTTTTCCCCCGGGATCTGTTCAAAATCTATCTGCTCACCACCGAATCGCCAACGAATCGCAGCACATGCCGTATGCGCGGCACATTTAATTTTTATTTAAAACAAAGGCCCGGCAGCGTCAGGCACAAATAAAGAGAAAATAAAACTCGGTGTGCCAAATACTTTTTTGTGTAAAAAAATCTTTCGAAGTGCACATGTCGCAAAATACACAGAATTATGCAAAAAAAAGAAAGAAAAATAAAGAAAAGTGAACAAATACAACCAAAACTTGCAAACACACGCCCAAAAACCAGCTGCAGGTGATTTTCGACGATTCGTAAAAAATGCAAAGCTCGTTTCATTGAAATGAAGAAGGTTTAGTGCCAGAGCAGCAGCGAAAAGTCCTGCCATTTTTTCGCCCACTCTATCCTTACGAATAGCTGTCGATGAGTCAACTTTAAGGTCCATTTAATCCCATCTGTAAAATGCTTTTAAGTAACATATTGTTCTTAGTTATCTGTACAGACTTCAATCATTAAAGATTTTGCGAGATATATAATTTTTCTGCCGCCACACACACAGTATACAAAAATATATTTTGGTGAAGTAGATTCACATTTATATTTTGGTGAAGTAGATACACATTTTCTCTGCCACCGCTCTGCCACACAAACCGTATACAATATATTATACCATATATCTGCCACACATACAGTATACAATTTATAATAATATATTTTAATTCAGTAAAGATGTTCGTCAGCATGAAATTCGTATTTTTTTTCCGCCGCTCTGCCACACACACAGTGTACAATACTATATATACTATATCATAGAACCCAAGTTATGGTTTTTAGTTGTTTGTTTTGATTATTATCCAGTGAAATTCGTTAGCATGAGATACATATTTTCTTGCCACACATACAGTGTACAATCTATAATATCATATTTGGTTCACTTAAAATGTATGTCAGCATGACAAAACGAACTTTTACTGCCGCCGCTCTGCCACACACACAGTGTACAACTTCCAATATCCTATTTCGGACACCTATTAAGCATAACGAGAGGATTATTTCTAAAAATAGGAACCCCCTAAGCTGAAATTTAATTACTTTCTAAGCTGATCTGCTTTCTTATTAAACTTTGTAAAATGTTTGTTTGTTTGTCGCCGAAAATCGCTTCCGTCACAGAAGGCAAAACAAGGATACAGGCGATAAGTGCGGCTCCAAGGACTTGTAGGCACCGCAGATGTCAGGACACAGGGCAATTAATTTCCGCTATACAATGGCAGGCATACAAGACCACAAAATTCTTATGTACGAAGGCAGTGGGTCAGTGTGTAAGTTGAACAAAGGGGCGGCTTCCCTTAAGTCCTGGCATACTTGAACATATATCCATGCTCGAATGATAAACTGCTTAATTTTCCCGAAACATTTAGTGGTCAAAATATGGCTGCAGAATGTGTCAGACAACAAGTACTTGAACAAAACCTTACCAGGAATTTTGTCTCAAGTGGAGGCTAAAACAAAATAAAAATACTTTACATATTGCTGTCGCTTGTTTTGATTTTCCTGGAACGCCCAGCTCAAAAATGATTTCTTATGAACACAAAGATTTCGCATAAAAGTAAAAGTTTTATGAGCATCAAAACTTTTCTGGTCACTTTTTGTTGTGTCCTTTTTTCTGACTAAGTAGGATGGAACTTTTTCTTGGGATACACCCAATATGATTTGAGTTTGATAGGGAAACTGCAGATGGCTCTAATAGATCAATTAGAATTTTTCTTCTATTGTATACCCATTAGGCTTAAGTTCCAGAAGGAGTGTCAAAGAGAAGAGGCTATATTCACGCTTCTAAGACACAAAACTCAACCTTTTTTTTTGAATAAAAGGACCAAATGGCAAATTAATTTCGGTTGGCGTGTGTCAACAACGCATGACTTACGAACAACTGGGGTAAGCAAAACAATTGTTCCTCCGGTTGAAAAACGAGCGACATGGGGCGAAACAAATGGCAAAGGATGCCCAATTACTTTGAACAAATGGTTACACATTTCTTTTTCCAAAGCGTCCTCTGAAAAAATTCGGATGCCCAATTAAATTGTCAAAAACGCTGTGAGCGTAAATTATGCTCTGAGATTTTAAATGTCGGTCATTTTCCGGCGAAAGTGACGATTAAAACGGTTTTGAAAAGGGGAGTTTTTATACAAAAAAGTGCTAATGAAGGTCGGATGAATCCTTTTGTTTAATTACTGGTTGGACATTATAAAGTGTTCGATTTTATTGAATATGTGTGTTAAACATTCTTAATACTAAAATAAAAAGAGCGAAAAGGAAACACATATTGGCAGGATTCACAGAAATCTCTTCGGGCGATTTTCGATGGAAATGCATCAATAAAAAAGGTTTCTGTGACACCCCTAAAAAACAGGTTACTAGCATTTTATAGAATTTTTTTAATTAAAGACTTACTTGCGTAATTCTTTGGTCCATCTTATATGATCAGTAACTACAAATACATCAAAGAAATGCTGTACGAAAATGAATTTTTTCAAATCCCTTGGAAACTTTTAAAGTGGTTAAACGAGCTCTCTCAACCCGTGAGAAAATCTTTTTTCCAGAGATTTTTTTTCTGGCGACAGGACCATTTTTCACTATTCCCTGACCTTGGCTTCCGGCTTACTTATTTAAATTATGGTCCGAGGCCAAGAGCTTGACCCAAGTGTATCTGTATCTGATGATGACGCTCTGGTCCTCACTGGCGGGTAGGAATGCCAAATAACTACAAATTCAGCTTAGGCACGTACTTAAAAAAAAGTCCCCATCAAGTGGGTCCAATAAAAGTTTTATGAGTCAGCCGCAATCTGGGGTACAGATAAAGGCGAGTTCTGCGACCGGCGCTGTGATAACTTGTCCACTTTGACCCCTTTGCAGTTGCCACAGTCACAGCTCGACAAACAACTTCTTCATATTCCTCAGATTGCAAACAGGACTCGAAACGTGCTCACATCCTTTTTCTGTTCCTTGCAGCTCCTACGGATGCTCCTGTTTTCCGGGCTTCAGTGGCAGTGACTGTGGTCATGGTCCACTGTGCAAGGACCTCCATACCAACGTGTGCCAAAACGGCGGCACTTGCAAGTGAGTACTAGCTATGATTTAAAATAACTTACATTTACATTGAAAATCTAAAAATAAATGCATTAAAAATATTATAATGTTCTTATGGAAGGGGGTACTATCAAATTAATTCTTATTTTCTTACCATACTATAAAACTTAATGGTCTATTTAGTAAAATACGTATACATTTGCACAAAAAGAAAAGAAGGTTTTCTTTCGCATCGAAAGTAAAGAAAAAAGCTTTAAAATATTGAGGAATATTCTTATGGTTAATGAAGTATACAAAGTACATTTTTATTTACCCACTTTATAATTAAACCTAAGTTTAAATGAATAAAAAAACGCATAATTTGTACAAGAAGAAAATTGAGTTGCAAAATTTAATCAGAATAGAAAATAATCGATTTAAAATATTAAGAAAACACCTATGGAAAAGTAAAGATGACCTACGTCCATATACAAGGACGTCTTATATATCCAAGAAATATTAGGTTAAATGGTATTGTTTACCATTAAATGAAAGCCATAATCTGTGGGACATTAATGGTGTTCCAAAATAGCCTTATTTGTAATACATTGTTAGATGCTCTATAAATATATTAAGTAGTTTTAACACCAAGGGGTGCAATACTTATAGAGGCTTTTCAGAACTTACCCCCACTCATATATTTAAGGCTCCTCGCATGTTATAGCCCTGCCAGCCCCACTCTTGCTGTTCCCCATATACTTATTGTCGGATCATCATTTGCAGGCACATCGGCGACGCCGCCATAACTTGCCACTGTCCGAAGGGCTTCAAGGGGACCAGATGCGAAATACCCGAAATAAACGAGACGACGCAGGGTGAGTGCAGTAATAAATGTTATTTCCGAGATATATCTACGTACAGTCGGGAGGTCTGGGATATACATATGCAGGCTAATAGGCGCCGGGACCCTGAGAGGGTGGCATAAAAGGCCGGGAAAAAGAAATGGAAGAGGGCGGGACAAAGGGCGCGCCTGTTAAAGTGAAAATGTAATTAAGGAAATAATTAGCATTAAAAATGCACTCATTGCCAGCTGAGGTACCCACGCAGACACTGTGCAGACTGAAATTGAAAGGAAAGACATTTTCCCCAACCCCTTTCCCCAGGTTTTCCCCGGTTTTCCCACCTTTTCCCCCGCCCCATCTGGAAATTCTCTCGCCCCATTTAATCGGCAAGTGCGTGCAAAAGCAATAAAAATGTATAACAACTGCAATGGAGAGCATTAAAAGGGAGCAGGCGACGCAGTGGAAAACCTCAGGTTGTCACTGTCCGGGATCCGTGCCAATTTCCATACGGCCCCTGTTTTCCGCGATGGGAAACCCGTAACCCCAGGAAGCCGGGACAGGAAAAACAACCAACATGTCACCAGCCGCCAACAATGTTTCAGCTTTAAGTTGTGCAGTTCATTGAAACGCAAAGTGCCTGCAATGGTAATGAGAACGGGAAAAACAGGACTGAAAGCTGCAAGCGGATTGCAAGATGTTCTGGTATTTCCAGGAAATAAAGGATACGAACAGGACTATTAGCATTTCTGAAAAAAAATCCGGAAAAATTCTATTGACCTTTTAAGAGAACAGTAAAATTTTTCCTATAGGTGAACTGAAATATTAAAAAAATATTAGGGAAACCCTCAAAACGCCTTTAAGGTGCCTAAAAGTATGCAACAATATTTTGTAAAATCAAAAGTTCAATGAATTTATTTATTGCATACTTTTAGACACTTTAAAGGACATTTAAAAGTGATTAAAGTTAAAGATCCCTTAGTTATTTCTTATATACATTCCTCTAAGAAATGTAAAAACACTCAGCTTTGATGTGATGGTTTAAAAATGGTTCATCAAAAGGAAGTCGCCTCAAAAAATTCCAATTTCATCGATTTAGACACTCCATTCCTTTTTAGCTATGGTATAGAAAAAATGCATAGAGCAATGTGATGGGATGGGTGGATAGCAAACCGAGAGATTATCCAAACGAATGCCTGGCACATGCTTGGCATATTTGCCGCATGATGTTATGTCTTTTATTCAGCTTCGTGCCCCAAGGCGATTTGAGGGTCTCTTCTTGTGGGAATTGCAACGGACACTCCACACAGACCAGTGGATTGTTAATGTTGCCACAGGTGTTGCTCTACGTTCTACGTCCCACATTCACGTCGCTCGAAGATATTCCTCATGAACGGGCCTTTTATGGATGCAATTACCAAATGTTTTTCCTCCTTTCAGGTTGCACCAGCAACACCAGCTCCATCGAATGCCACCAGGCCTGCGACTTTGACAATTTCCGGAGTCCTGGTTCTGGTTCTGCTTCTGGTTCCTCCTCTGCTCAGAGTTATTCCGTCTTTAAAAGCAACAGGAACACGGCTCGCAGTGGCAAAACTCGATACGAGGTGACCATGCGACTTGGTGCCAATCTCACGGGATACTATCGACATGCCGACCGGGAACAGTTGTCGGGCGTTATGGAGAGACAGGTAAGCACTATTGCCTCTTCAACTTTTAATTGCCCTTAAAATGAGGTCTGATATGTACACTTCTCAACGGAATTTATTGCCGAGTAAACTTATAATATTTTTTTAATGAGGTATGAAGTAGCTTATCACGATAAAAAGAGGATTACGGAACATAATGTAGAAGTGGGTTCGCGTCCATCCATTATATACCATATGGGCAATTCCACGGGTCGCGAACGTACGTTCGTTAGTGCAAATATAAAAAAAAAGTTTTCTGAGCTCTCATTTTCATAATATTGGTGGCCTTAAGTGGCCTTAAAAGTAGCTAAAAATGATATAAAGTAATTTTTTCACTTTTTAGGGAAATTTCTTCATTAAAACAAATGAAATATGCTATGGTTCCACTGTACTATGAAAATATGGCCATTTATTTATGAAAATACGCAAAAAATACGATGATTGTGATGATTTTTTTGTTTCGGTCCTGGTTGACCATTTGGCGTATATGCCCATATACAAGTTTTTATATATTATTGCACACATTTTCACTATGATTTTTTCGTCTTTTAAAAATGTCCGTTTATTGGAATAACACATATTACTCCAAAATGTTTTCGCCTGGATTAATTTTTTTTTTTTAAAACCGATTCTCCAAAAAAAACTGTTGAATTTACCAAAAAACAGCCGCTTAATACCAATTTTTAAAATTCAGAACGAATACTTTTTGAGACTTCACTTTTTTGATACTGGTACTTTAAAAGGAGTCTACATATTACCCATTAAAACACTCACATATTCTGTAAATTGTATACCTTTAGTTCAAAAACATTTTAAAATAATATTGGAATTAATATTTCTTTAAAGCTTGAAAAAGAATGTTTATATTTAAAAATCAAAAACCGATAAAGCAACTTAACCCACATAGTTATGGGTCAAGTTAAGCTGATCCTCTGGTTCCGATGAGCCATGGAGCACATTTCGCACTGCTCCTTGAGTGGCGTCCAAGGAGGCGTTCCACATGGGCGGATGACCCGCCTGCTGCTGGGCATTGTTGGGAGTGGGATTAGGACTCACGGGACTGCCGGCACTGCTCTCCATGATCGTGGGCATGTTGGGCGGATGCTGGGCGGACGTGGCCGGCGGATCGACCCGTTCCATCAGCTGGGTGAAGCTGCCGCCGATGAGGTCGCTGCTCTCGTGCCGCTTGTAGCTGTGGGCGGACCGGGAGAGGGGTCGCCAGCGGTTCAGCTTCTTGGAGGCCATCCGCTGCAGGGGCGGAGTGCGGCTGCCCGTTTCCGGTTTGAAGGAGGCGGCTGCTCCCTTAGCACCGGAAGTGTGCTGCTCCAGCAGAGAGCTCACCAGCTTGTCCAGCACCTTCAGGTCCACGTTCAGCTGGGAGTTCGGAATGGAGTTCATCCGGCTGCCGGACAGGCTGCCCGAACCCGACTGCCCAGGGTCACCATCCGTCTTGAGGCGGTTGAGTCCGGCTATCTTGGCCAGGCGTTCGGTTAACTGAGAAAGGATAGCAAAAGTTTGGTTTTAATTAGAAATCTATTAATCATAAAGGTTCAAAATCAACAATTAGTTAATTAAGTCATAAGAAAAATGGGTCTCTTTCATTTTTCATAATTTTGTTAAATGAGTTACTTGTAGTGTATTGCACTATTTTAAATTTCTTAGTCATTTTTTATAATATCTAATTCTCCACCTTGAAAATGACATTATGTGATACTTTGTACCTTTATTGGGCACACCAATAAATTACTATATTTTACAATAGCTGGTTATTAAATTGAAAATTAGCTTAATTTGGTATTCTGGCTCAAATATAAAAAATTCAAAATTATTTTTTGGCTGTTATATTGCTTACATTTTGTTGTTGTTTTAATTTTGCAAATAGAAAATTATGATGATGCTTTTAAAATAAGCTAATATTTTTACCATAACACTCTATAGTTCAATATATTACTACCTCCTACATTTATTTAGGTAAAGGATAATTGGTTTCTATTACCTTACATAGGTTTTTACTTAACACATAACCTTTGTTACCAAAATTCCATTTATTTAAGATTGTCAAAATTCCTTAAATATCCCTCAACTTCAAAATAAAAGAAACAGAATCTTTGTGTTTCCTCTGCCCAATTAGATTGCCATTGTGGTCCTTCTCCTGCAACTCCCTTCCTAATAAATCGCCTTTGAGGCGCTGGGAGACTGATACTTCAGCGCAGCCAATTAAACTTTCCGTTTCCCATATGCGAAATTACAATTAAGCAATAAAAACTAACGAAATATGCCCTTAGGCCTTGTGGCAACCGAACAAGTGTTCCGGCAGCTCTTCAGAGCAGAATTTCCAACTTGCCAAGGACGAGGGCAATATGTTCTGGGAGGAGCAGGCTGAGCAGGAGGCTGACTGGCTGTCAGGACACCAGGGCTGCCAGTGCTGCCGGGCATCCATTCTCCCAGGCCCTCAGGATGCTCCTTCGACGGATCCGCTGGCGTGGAGCTGCTCGGTGTGCGACTTTAATTGATGTTTCATTTCCGTTGCAAAGTGCTTCCGTTTTCCTGAGCTCCGCATCCGCATCCGCCGTTTGTTTTGTCCAAGTTGCGAGGGGGGAGGGGGTTTCAGAATCGAGTGCCGACCTGGTAATTGAGTATCAATGCGGTTTTAAGTGAAAAATGCTGGCAGCCTTTGGCCACCCTGGCAACCCTGGCAGCCCTATCCGCCCATCGAACCACCCTACTCAATGGCCAACCATTTCCGTTTTTAATCTTTTGCCTTCGCTTCATTCTCGTTTTCGTTTTCGTTTTCTATTTCGTTTTCTATTTCGCTTTCATTTCATGTTTCTGTGTTTTTTTCAATTGCCTCCTACTCCATTCAAATGGGGTTAATTGAGTTTTAGTGGCCAGGACTCACTTTAAACTGATTACAGAGGCCGGCAGAGGGCGTGGTCGTAGGCTTTGCAAGTTTGTTTTGCATGGCACTCGGCTATTCGCTGGCTGTCTCTCGAAATATTTGGAGCATGTCAGTCTGCCAGCCACTCGAGTATCTTGGCCCAAACCCCCCCTCCCATAAGCCACCCAACCGAACAACCACCTACAACGCCTGGAAATTAATGTAAAAGTTGATTTGTGGCAATCGACGCATGGATGGCTTTTGAATGCTTCTCGCTCTTGCCGGCGAGTTTTAATTGAGGCTGCTCGTCTGCTCCTTAAACAGGAAATTAAGAAAGTTCTTCACCGGGCCCTATGATTAAGCGTCATTAGCGGTTTCAGGTACACAGAAAAAAACACATAGGGATCAATTAAATATTCGCTGGTTTACCACTGAATAAAGTAATCTTGATATTGAGAAATTTTAGTTCTTGAAAACTCTCTTAAATCCAAAAAGAGAGAAAAGAGCTAGACAGCTTTGTTTGAAACTCTCCAAAACAAGAGAAACTCTCCGAAAGAGAGCAAAAAGCAAGATGACGTACATTTCAAAGTGATAGACCCCGTTTTTAGATAGAATTTATACTGAAATGTATCAAATATATACCTTTGAATAGTGTAAGCTTGATATTGAGAATTGGTGTTTGTTGAAAACTCTCTAAAATCGAAATAGAGAGAAAAGAGCGAGACAGCTATGTTCGAAACTCTCCGAAATAGGATAAACTCTCCAAGAGAGAGCAAAAAGCAAGATGGCGTACATTTCAAATTGATAGACCCCGTTTCTAGATTGAATTGTTACTAAAGTCCATCAAAATAATCGTCATATCTTCTTCATTTTTTCTGTGTGTATCTGATGTGACATGCATATCTTGGTTAAGTAAGTTCTGCTCAAAAGCCCCGACCCAAAACCAACCACACCGAACTGAAAACCCAATGACAAGGTCCAAAGCTCAGTTCCTGCAGGGTTTTTTTCCTTCAAAGTGACAGATATTGCCCAGTGGGTCTACTTTCATCTAGCGCATAAAAACCGACAGGAGTTTATTTTCGTCTTGGTCCTTTGCTGGGACTGCTTTTGCAACAGGTTCAGCTGGCTTAACTATAAATCTTACATGATTTTCAACTACTCAGTTGTTGCTTTCTTGCAGCTGCCCCCAAGTGACCCCTTTGCTTTTTCCCCACTTTGCTGCATGTTGCCTTGATTTATGATCTCCCCAACTTGGTTTATTGTCGCATCGTTTGGCCAGCGTTTTTTCCCTTTTCCCCGGAAAATGCCTTGCATTTTCTTGTCCGCCTCGCAGGGCTTATCAACTAATGATTGAGGTCAGTTGGCCACCGTCTGCTTTCTGCTCTCGTCTCCGCCAAATAATTGCTGGTAATTAAGCTTAAATGCTGTTCGCCGGAGGACCTCCACCATGGGGGTCATGAAAAATGCAGTTTCAAGATACTTCGTGGCCCCGAAACTTGTATTGCGGCGTTGGTAGAACTTTATTGGCTCAAAAAGTGATAGAAAACTAGTTTATTAAAGTAAAAATATGTTGGAGTTCTTTGTCACAGCCGAAAAGAAAAACAGAAGCAGGTGTGCTCGGCATTTTAGTTTTCGAAAATCGATGGATTGTGTTGCATCAACTCAGTCAATATATGTTCTTTAATAGAGGCATTTGAACGAAACTTGTCAAATATCTTAGTAGAATCTAGTTAGGCCCGATCTTGGGTTATCAATTATTCAAATATTGCGAATAGCAGCTGTGAAATCTTGCGAATTTGAATCAATCGAGAGATTGTAAGTGGGTATATAAACTGGGGATCTGATAACCACAGATTATCATTCGTCATCTGCCAATGTTCTGCTAAATATAAGGAAACCTTCAGTGATCCTTGGCTCTCTCCTATTGACCATCTTCTTGGCCAAATTCTCAGTTGGAATTTTAAATTACGAGATGGCAAACATTATATCTTATGTGTCTAAAAGTGTATAAAAATTTTAAACCAAATGGTTTTGTTGCTTTGTAAGCCTATGGAAATCCTGGATTATCGTGATGATATAATTTATAACAATACACTATAATATGTTGTAGTTTTTCTTATCAATC